CTATTTGTTGAGTTAAGTTACGAGAAATTTATTTTTCATGAATATCTTAGTCCCTGTGTAAATGATCTATTTTTGACTGGATCGGGATAGATTAGTTAAGGTGCGCCTAAATTGATCCGAACAATCCTAACCGTTGAACCAAAAAATATAAAAAACATTGTTGAACTTGGATCTCTTCAAAACACACATACGAACACATATGTGTGTGTGTTTCTAAAATATTACCACATTTAAGGAACGTGGAAAATAACATGACCCCGCAATTTGGATCCATTATTGTGTCTTGCATGCGCATAGCATTATTACCTACTTGAAAAAAAAATATATTGATAGAATAATACACAGACAGAGATTGCTCGTTGTCTTGTGGTTGTGACTTGTCTTCAACCATCTCAATCCTTGTCTAAATTCCGATATTGTGATTAAGTTCAGTCATACATCATTAAATTTATTAGATCTGATAATATAATTTATGCAGTTGTGTAGTTGAGGTTGGGGATCAAAAAGGGGGAAATGAACTAAAAATTTGTTAGGGATGATGATGAGAATTCACTTGGATGTCCAATTTGAGCTACTAGGTTTGTAGTGGTTAATAGTCAATTACATAGACAACAACCATCAATCGATAGACAGAAGATTTATAGTGATTATAAGGGTGTAACTTGAGCGGGCTAACCCGATTTTAACCTGAGGCCAACCCGAAAAAAGTAAGGCTTGGATTAGGATTTTTAATATTTAGGTTAAGCTTGGGTAAAAAAACTCCAACACAAATTCAATTTGGACGGGCCTCGGGTTGAGACATCGGGTTTACGGGTTGAACTCGAATATTAAAATAGGGCTCAACCCGATTTAATAATCGGGTTCAACCCGAATTAATACTATATAAATACAATTTTATCCTACGATTACTATCTAGTCTGCACCTCCCTCCCTCAGGACCCTTACTCACTCTCACTCTTAGATCTGTCTCAGCTCTCTCTCAGCCTCTTTCCGAAAGAGTCCTTCGTCTTTGTCAAAGTCTTAGCCCCTCAGCCTCCTTCATCTTCGTCTTTCTCTCTCAGAGTCTCAGCTCTCTCAGCCTCCTTCGTATTCACCTCTCTCTCTCTCTCTCTCAGAGTCTCAGCCCTCTTAGCTTCCTTCGTCTTCACCTCTCTCTCTCATAGTCTCAGCCCTCTCATAGCCTCCTTCGTCTTCTTCTCTCTCTCTCAGCCTCTTTCTTCATCTCAGTTCAAATCTCATCTTAGATCAAAAACTCAAATTTTATCTCAAAGCAGATTTACTATCTACGCCTCTGACTTCGTCTGTCTCAGATCAGGTATGCAATTTTCATTTTTATTTTCACATTTTCAAAGTTAATTTTCATATTTATTTTTTTCAAAGTTAATTTTGAGACCTCTTTTCACTCTTAGATGCAATTTTTTCGGAGTTAATTTTTAGAGTTTATTTTCACTCTCAAATGCAATTTTTTACGTCTCTTTTCCAACTTGCTATGACATTAAAATTTTTGTCCTCTTTTGATCCTTTTTTTCACAATCAAACGATGCATTAAGAATTTCTTTAGAAGTATATCAATGTAAAATTATTTTTTTAGATTTTGTTAAAGTCTAATATTTCACTTTTAGTTGCATAAATTGATTATTTTTCTGTTTTTTGATTTTATGGCATAGTAAATCAATACATGTCACTAATGGGGGAGACGGAGACAAATGTTGTGGTAGCAGTGGCAGCAATGGACTGGTGGCAATGACAATGGTTGTGTCATTAGGTAGTGGGCAGTGACAACAGTGAACTCTATGATTGTGTTAAATTACTATTATGTGTTTATGTTAAACATTGACTTTATGTTGTATTTCTGTTTGTGTTATGTTTATTTCTATTAAACTGGTTCTGTGTACAGATTCTAGTTGTTCTAATGATGTCGGTTGTGTAAGGATTTTGTTTAAGCAGTGAACTCTATGTTTGTGTAAGGATTTTGGTTGTGTTTATTTGTGTTCTGTATGGTTGTAGTTGTATTATCTCAAGCATTGAGTTTTTAATATTATGATTTTTATGTTAAAAACTGGATTGAAGTTGTTGGTTGTTAATTTAGGTGAATATTATGTAATATATATATCAGGTTTAGAACAACAAGTTTATTTTGGGCTCAACCCGAACTCAACCTGTAAAGTACCCCGAATTCAACCCAAGTCCGCCCAAATTAAACTTGGGTTGTGCTCGGGTTGAGTCCCTCAGCTTGAGGTAGGGTTAGAGCTAGGGTTAGGGTTAAAGATTATACACCTGGACTTGGGTTAGGGTTGACTGTCCAACTCGCCCAACTAGCCCGGGTTGCACCCCTAAGTGGTTCACTAGCTTAAAAGCTTAGTTAGTCCACTCTAATTGAGTCTCTTGCTCCTAGGAGTTTTTCTATTATTTGGGGAAGAGAATTATAAGGCTGCATAGAGTCTATTCATAAATATTCTGATCCTTTGCAAAGCGAGGGATCGGTCCCTATTTATAGTGTGTAGGAGTTTCGCGTAATTAGCGTGATCGTTGCGAAATAGTCGTGATCCTTTCATAATAGCAGGGATTCTTGCATAATCAACGTGATCCTTTAGTGATTTTTACGACTTATGTGTTAGGGATTTTTGGTTGTTATAAGTTATATTTTCTAGGCGTGACGTGACTTTATGGAAAGTTTGAGCAGTCGTTGTCATAGTGTACTTGAGAGAAGACCTGAGATGGAAGACTTAAGTTGGGGGTCCGAGCTGGAAGACCTAAGGTGGAAGACCTGAGCTGGGAGTCTGAGGTAAGAGATCCGAGCTGGGAGACCAAGGTCCGAGCTGGAAGACTTGAGGTGCAAGACTTGAGTTAGGGGGTCCGAGTTACTTCTAGGCCGAGCTTAACCTTGAATAATTTTTTGTATCATCAAGTTCATATTGAGTACTAATAGGTTTATAATATAGGAGTGTCAACCTTTTCAGATTAAATGATTACGAGTAGGGTTTAATCGAGTTTGTGTGGAAAATTAGTAAACCTGTATACAACTTGTTTAAGTAAACAGGTAAAAAACTTCAAGTCAAACATGATTCGTTTATTAAGAGGGCTACATAACATAACCCGCACAACTCGTTTACTTTAACATTATTTGAAAAATTAACAGATTAGAGTTTTTCAAAACTCAATTTTTAAAATTTGAAATCTAGAGGATCTAAATCTTGTCTTGAATATCACAGCAAAGATTAGAATGCTCGATAGTCTATACATTCTACCAATTACATACAATTCCTTCTTTGTGACGATCTTTCCTTTTTGGTTCGAGGGACTTTATATTTACATTTAGAACTCTTGTACCACCTCAAGTAGTACGCCACATCAATGTTACAATTCTCATATGTATATATATAGTAATAAAATAGGAAGTTTTTTGAATATAAAATCAAAACAAAGATTCAGATCGTTTGACTTGGACTGTTGAATTTGATGATACAATAGTAAAAATTTAAGCTCAGTGAACACAAATCTGCCTCGAATTAATTCCCACTCAACACAACTCATTTAACAACCTCAACAGTAACAAACCTTTGTAGAAACATTGGGCCTCTGCCCAAGAATTCTAAACATAACCATCCAAAAAGAGTGTCCAATTGGGCCATTGTACCAGTTCAAAAAGTGGGCCACTATATTAGGGGCTGGTTTCAGTCTGTCTTCTTCAATGGATAAGAGGAGAGTCAAAGGGCTGGATTCCACCTTGCTTCTAGGCTTACGGAAAGAAGCGAATCCGAGGACTCTACGTGCATAAGCTTTTTTTGACTATAAAAATGATTCCTACCCCAAAAAAAGTAGTCCGTCAACTGAATTTGTCTTATGTTGTGACAGGGTATCGCCTCGTTGTAGAACTTGGGACATTGCTACCAGTGTAGGAAAAGTGGGCCAAAAAACAAAAAGTGTAGGAAAAGTGGGCCACTGCATTTGTATAATTGACAAAGCTAAGCCCATCAGTCAACTTGGGCATTACTTTCAGTCCTCCTCAAGTTTTATTTTTAACAATTAGTATCTCTAAATTCGAATCTCTAAAATGACTACTAGCTAATTAAGTAGATATCACATTTCCTTCTTAATCAAATCTGAAGATGATTCATTCAATTATAGACATTAGCCTTATCGTGATCTAGTAAATACTTATAATCCATTAATAAGAAATTCTCGACTGGTAATCTTTTCTATCTCTCAAGCAACTCCACTATGCATATTATCTTCTACAAACTAAAATTTCACTTACAGCAAATACTAACCAAATCTATATAAAAAAAAACCAGGATTCCATAACAAATTAAATATTACCAGATTAAGAATCTGAAAATTTTCATATTTGACATTATTTTAATTATTTTGTTAGTGATCCAATAGCTACCTCTAGTAATGGATCGAAAATGGCTCAATAGCCCACTGGGCTAATGGGCAATTAGGCCTTCCTTTTGTCAGAACTGTGGGTAGCTTGGGGGTAGGGCCTATGCTTAGGTTGTGGCCGAGTGCTCCTCCCAAGCTGACCCGATATAGCCCATTTCCTTTTCATTTTTTATCCACTTATGACTTTATGCTTTTCTTTTCGAATTATATCTGAATTTAGCTTCTTCTTTTTTTTGCGTAAAGACTAGTTGACTAAAGGCTCATTCTGGACCTTATTGTGGTAAAGTATGGGCCTAGGTATTCTTGGGCTGGCTGTCCTGAGCCTGGACCGTTGACTAGTCAAAGTCGAAGCAGCACNGTAAAGACTAGTTGACTAAAGGCTCATTCTGGACCTTATTGTGGTAAAGTATGGGCCTAGGTGTTCTTGGGCTGGCTGTCCTGAGCCTGGACCGTTGACTAGTCAAAGTCGAAGCAGCACGGCCAGTTGAGGCTTTGGTCATTAAAAAACTGGGCCTGGCTGCAGCTCGTCCCTAGCGCATGTTAGCAGAATATACAGTACAATCTTAGCGTGCACATCACCACCAATAAAATGCGGAAAAAATCCCTCCATCGTCCATACCACCGTGTTTGGACGTCACTGCAATCTCTCTCTCTCTCTCTCTCTGTGGAGAGAACCGAAGGCAAGAAGGGGACTGTGTTTAGTCAAACGAGTCTCTCCTCTCTCTCATCAATCATGGACTCGTCCGCTCTGGGCGGCGTATCACTTCCCTCCGGCCCGGACGCTAAGAAGCGCCGAGTAACATACTTCTACGAGCCCACAATCGGCGACTACTACTACGGCCAGGGTCACCCAATGAAGCCCCACCGAATCCGAATGGCCCACAACTTGATCGTCCATTACGCTCTCCACCGTCGGATGGAGATCAATCGTCCATTCCCCGCCGGACCCGACGACATCCGACGGTTCCACTCCGACGACTACGTGGACTTCCTGGCCTCCGTCACACCCGATACCCTCCACGACCACACACACGCTCGACACCTTAAGAGATTCAATGTGGGTGAGGATTGTCCGGTGTTCGATGGGATTTTTGGGTTCTGTCAGGCCTCTGCTGGTGGGTCGATTGGGGCGGCCGTGAAGCTTAATAGGAAGGACGCTGATATTGCGATTAATTGGGCTGGTGGTTTGCACCATGCGAAGAAAAGCGAGGCCTCTGGGTTTTGTTATGTTAATGACATTGTGTTGGGTATTCTCGAGCTCCTCAAAGTTCACAGGGTAGTATTTTCACTCTACAAACACTCTTTAATTAATTACTGCGGTTATAAATGTGTTATTCTAACTCATATGCTAAAGGTTATGTGTTTTGTGTTGTTGAGTACTTGATGAATTTTGAAATGAGATTTATTTGTTTGTGTATAATTGGGTTGTGGGTTATTTTATTTTTTATTTTTTTTGGTTTTATTTCAAGGATAATTGATTTATGGTGATTGTTCTAATTTGGATTGGTATGTTGGCTACCGTAGATAACTTTTTTGAGGTATTTTCGATTTAAATTGACCTATTTTTTTACTTCGAATTATTGGTTTGTTGATGCTCTGCGCACCTTTTTTTGTCCCTTTAGTTTTGAGCTTATTGAAAAAGGTTGTCACTGGTATTGGAATTTTGGTGCTGGTTGGATGAAGTTCTTCTCATGTTGCGGATTGAATACAGTATAATTTCATGTTGTAGGTTCATATGTCCTTATAGATTTCTGAAATTTATGTATTATATGATTGCACAGTTTGCTTTAAAGCAGAAAAAATCTGGTTTTCATTCTAAGGATGGTTTAAAACATGAATTTATATCCTTGCTNGATGTTGTAGGGTCATATGTCCTTATAGATTTCTGAAATTTATGTATTATATGATTGCACAGTTTGCTTTAAAGCCGAAAAAATCTGGTTTTCATTCTAAGGATGGTTTAAAACATGAATTTATATCCTTGCTTTTTTTTGTGTCCCAATCTTTTCTTGTTTTTGATATTCGGATCACTCCTTTTTTTGTAGTGAGGTGAGATTCGAATTTCTATTTTGTTTCAGACAACTTCTTGGTGGTTATAAAGTGTGGGGTGCAATGGCGTGATTTGCTTCTATGAATGCATTTTGCAAACAAACATCCATATTGGAAGTTGGGCTTCCCAACAAACTTCTCATTGTGAATATTCTTGTCCCTTTCTAGAAATAATATCTGTAGTCTGCAAGATTCTGCTCACCCAATATTTTTGACATACATTGAATTTGCCATATGTTTGTTATTGCTGAAATCCATTTTTGTTTGTCATGAATATATTGGTTTTCTAATCCTATTAAGGTTATTGTACAGCGTGTGTTATATATTGATATCGACATCCACCATGGAGACGGTGTTGAGGAGGCATTTTTCACCACTGATAGAGTCATGACTGTATCTTTTCATAAATTTGGAGATTTCTTTCCTGGTACTGGGCATATTAAAGACATTGGCGTAGGTCAGGGAAAGTACTATGCACTAAATGTCCCATTAAATGATGGAATGGATGATGAGAGCTTCCGTGGTCTGTTTCGGCCGATCATCCAAAAAGTTATGGAGTCGTATCAGCCAGATGCAGTTGTTCTCCAGTGTGGGGCCGATTCATTGGCTGGTGACAGATTGGGGTGCTTCAACTTGTCAGTAAAAGGCCATGCAGATTGCCTTCATTTCCTTAGGTCTTTCAATGTTCCTCTGATGGTTTTGGGCGGGGGAGGGTATACGATGCGTAATGTTGCACGCTGCTGGTGTTATGAGGTCTCTCTCTCTCTCTCTCTCTCTCNTCCTCTGATGGTTTTGGGCGGGGGAGGGTATACGATGCGTAATGTTGCACGTTGCTGGTGTTATGAGGTCTCTCTCTCTCTCTCTCTCTCATTTCAAATCAGATATCCCACTAAATCCTATGCTGGAAGTCTGAACATTAAAGGACGATTTTTTACATTTTGCAGACAGCAGTTGCAGTTGGGGTGGAACCTGATAATAAATTGCCTTACAACGANTGGAAGTCTGAACATTAAAGGAAGATTTTTTACATTTTGCAGACAGCAGTTGCAGTTGGGGTGGAACCTGATAATAAATTGCCTTACAACGAATACTACGAGTACTTTGGCCCAGATTACACTCTTCACATTGAGCCAAGCCCCATTGAAAACCAGAACTCATCCAAGGATCTGGAGAAAATAAGGTGATTTTAGGACTGTTGTTCTGCTCACTGTTCAAACCACCATCAGCCTAGTTAGTTACTCTTGAAATAATTTCACAAAATTTGTGAGGTTAAAATGAGTGGTAATGTACTGAAATGGGTAATATAAGTCTTATGTATTCTCAAACTAACAAGACTATGGAAAATACTTTGAGATCTTCTTGTGCTGGGATCTTTTTGCGTAGTCCAAATCATAGTGACACGACTGTGCTCTTGATCCGTGAGGAACTCCATGACCAACCCTAAATGGAAGATAAACCATTTCTAATGGATTACCCCTTTTTACTTATCACAACTGTTTTAGATCGTGAACCGTTTGACCTAAAACCATTCTTCACAATCTAGGTCATGTCGAATGGGTGGGGATTGGTGCCATGTTGCTACTTTTGGCTCTCTTCAAGTTATAAGGGTGCACCTGTGGTCATATTTTTTNGTCTAGGTCATGTCAAATGGGTGGAGATTGGTGCCCTGTTGCTACTTTTGGCTCTCTTCAAGTTATAAGGGTGCACCTGTGGTCATATTTTTTCTTAATTATCACTTGTTTTTATATAATTATGGTAAAGAGTGAGCAACAATTTCTTTTATATTTATTCTCGGGTTTGAGAACATAATTGTGCTAATGTGAGATGGATTACCGTATGATGTTATAGATTGATCATAGTGCTAAATTTTTATTCTGTCTTCTAAAGCTAACAATTGGTACAAAAGGGCTTAAATTCGAATTTCTTTTCCTTTTTTCAAATTTTTTTATATTTTTAGATAAGGAGCCCAGAGAATATTGCTTCTATTTATATCTATATGTTTTTCGTTGTGTACCCATTCCATAAGAACATTAGTTTATGCCTTGACTGAACTTTCTTGACTTTGCTCGGATGCTTCTGCATGTTGGCCTTAGACTCACACCTAGGCGTCTAACAGTCTTGTAGATTCACTAGATTGGGATCAGTTACATATGGTGGCTTGGATGGATACCAACATTACCTATATTGAATCGTCTAACATAAAACACAATTATAGTTTGGTTGGATTTTGATTAGTGCCTCGGACACTGACAGCTTAGTATAATCCAGTCCAATGTATTATCAAGTACATTTTAATTTTGTAATATGATTAGTCTTGTGAATCTGATTTGAGTTGGTTTCTTAATTGATTGGGTTCAGGTTGGTATTTTTCACATTGGCATTTTTCACAATCTTTGCTAGATCAAGCTAGAGCAATTGTTGTGGGTGTTATGTTTGGTACAACTATAATTGACATAAGAATCATTAAATGTTCATAATATTGTTACTCATGAAGTGTGGGGATTGATCTTTAAAGACAAGAGACCCCTACAATGAATAGATAGATGCAAATTAAAAAAAGGAAAGCAAAGAAGAAAAATGACAACAGAAAATAATTTTGTGATGGAAGTTTCTTGTGACAGGAGCCCTCTCAAACTATAAATTTCACACAATGACATAGTTTAACGTTGGCTGATTTTTGTGACTTCAATTTTGCTTACTGGACGATACCATGTGATTCAGTAGTAATGTAACTATTAGTGATCAGATGTCTCGTGAAAATGATAGTTTTCCATCGTGTTAAATGTTGCATTTTGTTTCTCTTGCTATCTGAAATAATCCAGCATGTCTGATAAGCATATTAGCTTTATTGATTTGAAGAAATAGCATCACTTAGTCAATTCAAATAATTTAAGGTCTTGATGGTATACACTAGTAAATCCAAGTTAAAGGAAAGTTTGAGGCATTTATAGTGTCTCTGTATTTGCACTTTTTGAATTTATACTATTACTCTATCAGTCATTCTTGCCCCTTGTGTGGTTACTTTTGTTCTGCCATAATTTTTAACTCCCCATTTTATATCATTGTAGAGATGGGAATTAGAATATTTATATACTCATTTTTTTGGTCTATATCTATCTGGTCCTTTTTTGACCCCTTTTTTGACCCCTTTTATTGTTCTGTTGCTACCAATTTTGGTAATATACACCTTCACAATGTGCTTTAAACTTTTAGCTTGGAAACATTTGGAGTGTTTCGACATGCCTATTGGTTGCACTTGCTAGGGATCTCTCTCTCTCTCTTAAATATATCGTTATTCTATTTGTGCAGTCCATTTTTCGTTCTTGGCGTGATTGTATACTGATGTTATGGGAATCCTGCTTGATATAATATTGGCAATGCAGGACCATGCTCCTTGAGCAACTTTCTAGATTGCCACATGCACCTAGTGTACAATTTCAAACAACACCGCCCATTACACAAGTTCCAGAAGAGGTTTGTAGCTGGTGGCCCACCAACCTGGATCGTGTTTGGATATTGTCTCCTTATCAATTTGCCTTGTGTTTATTCTGATCTCATTAGAAGATTTCTGGGTGTAGGCAGAGGAAGACATGGATCGAAGACCAAAACGCCGGATATGGGATGGTGAGGATTATGAGTCTGATGCCGATGAAGACGAGAAGCCTCGACATCGAAGCTTGAACACCGGTGGTCAGCCTATGGCAAATTTTGATATGAGGTGAGCCCTGAGGTTGTCTTGCCAAATTCTTGGGTTAAGCATTAAAGAGTTATGTTATTGCCTTTTAGGACTTGGTGTGACTGAAATCTTTGCATGAAGTGAGCCTGGGTCAAATTCAACTTGGTTCCTATGCAAGCATCATTCTCTTCCCACCCCCACCCCCCTCTTTTTTTTTCTCTTCTCTCTCCTTCTCTTTCTTGTGTGTCTGTTTTTCTGGTCTGCACTGGCATTTATGTCCATTGAGTATTCAACTGCTTTTTTTTGGGTGATCAAGGATCCGAGTCCTTGAAAGGCTTTGGGGTTCTGTTGGGTGCCCAGGGGCTGAGCTCATTAGAGGGGCTATGGAAACATGAGGGAGTTAGGAGATGGTCATGTAATCATATTTTAGTATTTTCTCTCTTTCAAATCACTATATAGGTCATTGATTATTATTTAAACTTACAATTTAGTGCCTTTCTAAATTGTTTTTCCCTCCTGAGGTGGCGTTTGGCATTTTTTTCACCCTTTTTGATGCAGGGGTATCACAGATAAAGTCAAGGAAGAGAATATGACAGATGCACACCCCTAGTTCAAACATCTCTACATTCATTAGACATGAATCTACCCGGAGAAAAAAATATCAATCATAGCAAATGGACAATTTCAAATCATTTCGCAAGGTGTTGAGAGTCGGAGTGTACAAGATCTCTGTCACTTTTCTCGTCGTTTCTCTTTTTAGTTCCTCTTAATCCAGCTTAGTTACAGATTACGCCTAATTACATAATGATTCTTGCACTGTCACGGGGGCCTCGTTTTTGTATCATGAATTAGAATTACCATGTGCAGGCTTGTAAAAGAATGGTGGCTGAAGTGTAAAACCTTTTCTTTTTTATGATGGTTATTAGATGGTTGTTACGTAAACTTGCATTGTAATTGGCTTTGCAGGGCAGAAACTGAGTACCACATTGCCTTTCGGAAAAGCATTACATTCTTTTTCCACAAATTCCATGGTAGTTCATGTGATAACAATGACGACTTTTAAATTTAGACGTTTTAAGTTTGAATTTTGGTAAATTATTAGGGTCAAGTTAAAAAAGATTTTTTTCTCATACATATTAGTCACGGCATGAATGATCTGTCTTTAATTGAATTAGAGAAGATTAATCGATATGAGTGTCAATTAATTTGGACACTTTTGATGGTTGAATTTAAAAAAAAAGAAGAAGGTTAATTGCATTGGAGGTTTTTAGAGTATGAGTTTGTCTCATTTTAGTTCTTAATATTTTAATTGTATTATTTTAGTTCTTAAAATATTAAATATATTTTTATGTGGTTTCTTAAGTCGTTAATATTTAAATTGTTAACGATTTTTTATAATAAATTTATCACGTGATATTTAAATATGAGCAAAAAATAATTTGACTCGTTCTTGACCAAATTTTGGGTTACTTTTGTCAAAAAATGTGTAATATGAGTAGTTCTTGACCAAAATTTGGATAGCTTATAATCACAACTGTGTAATTTATGTAACTCTTTGACTAAAATTTGGGTAGAAATTTAGTCAAGAGTTCTCTAAATTATTTATTTACCCATATTTAGATATTATATGACAAGTTTATAATAAAAAAATTGTTAACAATTTGGATGTTGTCTGTTTGAAGGATCACATAAAAACATATTCAATATTTTAGATATCAAAATGATACATTTGAAATATTGGAGACCAAAATGAAACAAATCTTATACTTTGGGAATCTCTAATGCAATTAATCCACAAAAAAAAAACCATTATATTTCCTTTGTAACATACTTGAAATTTGGTTTTAGATTTGGGGAAATGATCGACTCATGCCATTCTTGGGAGACCATTTGTAGTGTGCGGGATAGCAAATGAATCAATGTTACTCAATGGAATATAATAGGTATCCAAAGTAGGGTAAGATCTTGGTACAATAGAGATATATAATATAACCAATTTTTTTAAAATACTTTTCTAAGATTAAATCACAACAAAAAAAAAATATTACGATACGATAAAGTTGTAATTGAATAATATTTTAGTATAGTGTTGGAATTTTTTTTTTTGNAAATAATTTGACTCGTTCTTGACCAAATTTTGGGTTACTTTTGTCAAAAAATGTGTAATATGAGTAGTTCTTGACCAAAATTTGGATAGCTTATAATCACAACTGTGTAATTTATGTAACTCTTTGACTAAAATCTGGGTAGAAATTTAGTCAAGAGTTCGCTAAATTATTTATTTACACATATTTAGATATTATATGACAAGTTTATAATAAAAAATTGTTAACAATTTGGATGTTGTCTGTTTGAAAGATCACATAAAAACATATTCAATATTTCAGATATCAAAATGATGCATTTGAAATATTGGAGACCAAAATGAAACAAATCTTATACTTTGGGAATCTCTAATGCAATTAATCCACACAAAAAAAAAAACATTATATTTCCTTTGTAACATACTTGAAATTTGGTTTTAGATTTGGGGAAATGATCGACTCATGCCATTCTTGGGAGACCATTTGTAGTGTGCGGGATAGCAAATGAATCAATGTTACTCAATGGAATATAATAGGTATCCAAAGTAGGGTAAGATCTTGGTACAATAGAGATATATAATATAACCAATTTTTTTAAAATACTTTTCTAAGATTAAATCACAACAAAAAAAAAATATTACGATACGATAAAGTTGTAATTGAATAATATTTTAGTATAGTGTTGGAATTTTTTTTTTTGGTGATAATTATACTCATTGATGTTATTATGAGTTTCAGTATTTATTGAGATCTGTTATTAATTTAATGATTAAAATTATCGAATCTAATTTTTAAATTTATGTCTTATTATTAAAGAAAAAAGATAAATAAAAAAAATTAGGAGTCTTAATGCATAGAGGAGACGTCGGAACCACAAGGCATTCNTATTATCGAGTCTAATTTTTAAATTTATGTCTTATTATCCGTTAAAAAAGAAAAAAGATAAATAAAAAAAATTAGGAGTCTTAATGCATAGAGGAGACGTCGGNAATTATCGAATCTAATTTTTAAATTTATGTCTTATTATTAAAGAAAAAAGATAAATAAAAAAAATTAGGAGTCTTAATGCATAGAGGAGACGTCGGAACCACAAGGCATTCTCTCTCTCTCCCAAAAATCTCCTCTAAAGTTTCTCTCTTTACGTTTTGTTTGTCGTTGCGTCGTGGTTACTTACTATTGAGGCAATTTTGAATGTTCATTCATTTTCATTCGCTTCTCTTTGAACTCTCAAAACTCCATCAGACCCTTTCAAGAACTAAACAATTGCATGCTCTAATAATCAAGACCCGCCTATTTTGTGACCCCTTTTATGCAGTGAAAATCGTAAGGTTCTATGCCATAAACGATGACCTTATTTCAGCTCGTAACTTGTTTGATAAAACTCCCCATCGAAGCGTCTACCTCTGGAATTCCATAATTCGAGCATATGCTAAAGCGCATAAGTTTTCTGATGCATTTTGGCTTTTCAAACAAATGTTTAGCTCAGAAACAATGCCTGATAACTTTACATTCACGTGTATTTTGCGTGCATGTTCTGAGAATTATGATTTTGAGGGAATGAGGCTTGTGCATGGAAGAGTGATAGTTTGGGGTTTAGAATTGGACTCCATTTGTAGTAGTGCATTAGTGCGTGCTTATTCAAAACTGGACCTTGTTCATGAAGCAACTGGAGTATTTAATCGGATAACTGAGCCGGATTTGGTTTTATGGAATTCAATGATTTGGGGTTATGGGAGTGGTGGGCATTGGGATAAAGGGCTACAATTGTTTAACAGTATGCGAAGAATAGGGAAGCAGCCTGATGGGTATACTCTGGTTGGGTTGATTTCGGGTGTAGTGGATCAGTGCTTGCTGGAAATTGGCCAAGGGATTCATGGGTTTTGTTTGAAAAGTGGTTTTGATTCTAATGCTTACATAGGTAGTGTACTTGTGAGCATGTACTCTAGATGTAAATGCATGAATTCTGCACGTAGAGTTTTTTATTGTTTATCTCAGCCTGATTTAGTTACATGGTCTGCTTTGGTAACTGGTTTTTCTCAGACTGGAGGGTATAAAAATGCCTTGGTCTTCTTCAAGAGAATGATTATGGAAGGTAGAAAGGCTGATCCTCTATTGATTGCTAGTGTGCTGGTGGCCACTGCTCAGTTGGCTACTGTAGACCCTGGCAGTGAGATACATTGTTATGCTGTTAGGCATGGGTGTTCCTCGGAGGTCATGGTCTCCTCTGCTCTCATTGATATGTACTCAAAGTGTGGTTTCTTGGGATTGGGTGTTCGGGTTTTCAAAACTATGCCTACGAGGAACATCATTACTTACAATTCCATGATTTCTAGTCTCGGTTTATATGGACTTGCAACCGAGGCGTTTGAAATGTTTGGAGAAATAGTTGACAAAGGATATAGACCGGATGAATCCACTTTCTCTGCTCTCCTTTGTTCTTGCTGCCATGCTGGTCTTGTCAAAGATGGTCGGGATTATTTTAGAAGAATGAAAGATGAATTTGAAGTTCAAGCTAAAACTGAGCATTATGTTTACATGGTAAAGCTTGTAGGGATGTCTGGCGAGTTGGAAGAGGCTTATGATCTGATCCAATCCTTGCCAAAACCAGTGGACTCTGGTATTTGGGAGGCACTTCTGTCATGCTGTGATGTCCATCAAAATTCCGAATTGGCAGAAATCGTAGCTCAGCAGCTCTTTGAAAATAAACCAGAGAAAACCACTTACAAGGTTATGCTTTCTAACATATATGCTGGTAACGGAAGATGGGATGATGCGAAGAATGTGAGGGATGATATCGCTGGAGAAAACAGAAAGATGGCTGGGATTAGTTGGATCAGTGGTGTCAAATGAAGAGTTCAATTTATACTTTATGAAACTTTCCTTCCATATTTTGGTGATTTACATAAATAGTCAGATGCTCAACACAATAGGAGAAGCTTCTAAACAGGTAGAGCATTGAAAATGGTTTTGTTATCAAAACATAAAACAACATAATTTATGTTAAATGAAAAACAGAGATAATAAACATGAAATTTGCGATGCACAATGTTGTTGAAGAAAGTGAACATAGTAATTTTGTCACACCTATTGTTCGTAAAATGTCTACTATTCTTGTTAAAATGTTTATGAAATGCATACTTTCCAATTAATGCGAATTTCATCTGATTGTAAGAAGTTGAAAAGGAGCTTGAGGAGAATAATGGCGAACGTTCGTGGAAGTTGTGTAGAAGCCAAGGATTCAGGTGGAGATGGGAAATTGATGATGAATGTGTGTTTCGATGCAATGTATGAGGTCTTTCCGATGGAGGTTTCTGTTTTGAGTCTTGGAAATAGGAGGGATTATAGCTCCCTTGCTCTTATCGATGAATTGTCTGAATGCATGGAGAAAGGCGCGCTGTCGAAGCCTTTGTAATTTTATGGTAACATGTGGGAATCCATAATGAAGAATTTGTGCTTTGCACATCTTATAATCCTGTTGAAATGAAGTATTCCAATGATTTACTCCCAGTGAAGAAAAAGTACTGAAGAGCTAATTGGTGATTTTGTTCTTATATTTGATTTTAGTAACATATGAAATGAATAACTAGAGCCATAACTTTGTGTGGATGCTACAAGGAGCTACGTGGTCATGAATGCAGTTAATTGATACACTCTGGCGGGATTCTAGCTAGCTCTTCAGTCCCCGGGTTGACACGTGGAATAATGAAGCCGTTGGGACGTCCAAAGGGTGCCGAAGAGATAAGCCGAGGTATGGTGATTCGGAACAGCCGAGTACGACAGCTTGCATCGTATTCAATGCGATGTGATTTCACATTTATGGCGGAATAAGTGATAGTGACAAGACAAATAAATGCGTGTCTGCCAACACTTGCCCTTTGGGAGTCTAAACTTACTATCATGATGACTAAGTATTAATGGCTGATGTGCCGAGACGACGTGAGCGAATATTCCGAGGAACTGTTCCCCCGAGTATTTAATGCTCAGTTGATATCAGATGTCGATCTGGGGGATTTGGGTACTCGGGGAGTGGCATAAATGCTCGGCACATGGCCGATCATTTACCCCATTTTTCTAGCATTCAATAGGAGGAGACGTAAATAGAAAATACTCATTGCACGAGGACTAGTATGTTAAATGTGAGATGTCCAGATGAGACTGGAGATCTTTGACAATCGTTGTTAATTCTGGTATAAATACTCCTCACAAAAATGGACAAAGGTATGCAAACTCGAACAAAAAAGATAGTCTATTAAGCAAAACCCTTCGATCTTACACTGACTTAAGTTTCGGAGGGGATTAGCTGGGCACACGTCTGGCCCCCTTTTTCCTGACCCTGCTTTTTCAGGTTCGCCAGCTGGGAGATCGCTGCCTCATACGATTGCAGGAATTATCCCATGCAATTTGGCGTCGTCTGTGGGAACGAAAGTATTTTTCCCGGTAGCGATCGTCTGATGGTGAACACTCGATCTCAGGGTGAGAGAGCAGGTGTACGGGCCAAGAACGCAGAGCCCGTCCGGCTTCCAATGGTTCTGGAGCCGGGTTCATTGGGCCAATCAGATGGGGTGGGACATTCTTTGCAAAAAATGCTCTCTATGGATCAAGACCTTGGGGGGCGCGACCTCATGACCCATGACATTGTGGAGATGGTGGAAAAGCGGATGGGCAAACGCATTAAGCAGCTCGAAAGGGAAAACACCAAAGTCCAGCAACGTCTTGACAATTTCGAGCAGTCAGCAAGTGCGGATAAGCATAGTCACGGGGTTGGAGACCGGGTACCCAGCTAGAACCTGTCCAGACCCCCCTGGCATTGGCCCTCCAGGAAAGATTGGGCTAGGCTCTCGCCCGAGGGGCGTGACTGCCAAGAAGGGTTCTCGGCCTCCAAGGGAAAGTCGGAATCAAGCCAGAAGGCAAGCCTGTCCAAGTAGGACCTGCGCCGAGGGATACCCAAGAGCGTCGGAGCCGCCGAATTTCAAGCAGAGTTCATACCCCGAAGGCCTCGAGGGGAGAGATCAACCAAGGATCCCCAGGTCCCCTTCATCCCTCAGCGTAACCATGAGCCCGCGGTCTACTCCGATAAAGTTTACCGTCCCACGGTTCAAAGTCTATGATGGGAAAATCGATCCCGAGAGCCATCTTCGGCAATACAGACAATTGATGTCAATCTACGATACTGACCAAATGGTGTTGTGCCGAGTTTTTTCCATGAGCCTTGGGGACATCGGCATGAGGTGGTATGAGAACCTTGCTCCCGAGAGCGTTGGGTCCTAGAGACAATTGACAGAACTCTTTCTAGCTCGATTCATCACCAGTAGTAAGAAACCAAAGGACATCGACGCTCTATTGAGGCTTAGGTGGAAAGGGGGAGAGTCACTCCGACAATATGCCGTCCGGTATTGGGATGAGGTGAATGAGGTGAAGGCATTGGCCGTGGTGTCATTTAGGCTGGGGCTGTCCCGAGACACTGATTTGTACAAATCGCTGACCAAGAAGGCTCCGACAGACATGAAAGACTTGATGGCTCAGATTAACAAATATGTCCGGGTGGAGGAAGAGTCCGTCGCACCCGAAAGCAGGGTTACGATGCTGAGAAAAGGGAAATGGAGTCGTCCCGAAGGGGAGGGCCTATTCCACCCCCAATTCGTCTATCCTTCCAGGGAGTGAACACGGTATTCAACGAGCCCATTCACAGGATACTCCCCAAAATCAAAAGACCTTACTTCAGGTGGCCCCCGAGGATGATTGGAGACTCGTTGATAAGGAATTCCGCCTTTCGATGTTCGTATCATAGAGATATCGGCCATTTGATGGAGGAGTGCAAGACTTATAAATCCTTCCTCGAACAATTGGTGCGACACGGACACCTCGGCGAATTCATCGACAGGGGTCGTCCCGGCGGTTCGGCGAGGGAGCGAGCTGAGGTGCCAGCTGAGGTAGCACCCGTGATTGATGTTATCCATGTCTGCACAGTAGAGAGGCTTACATACAACTCCCTCCATGTCGAGTTGCAAAGGGTCTCTCAAGCAGTCAGGGTGGATGAAAGGGGTGATGAGCGGCCGCCCAAAAAGCCACAAAGCGGTGCCAAGGTCATCCAATTTTCTGATGTTGATCTCGGCGGGGTGGTCCTCCCCCACAATAATGCTTTGGTGATCACGTTGCAGGTCGGGAAGTTCGACATTAAAAGGATCTTGGTGGACTCGGGCAGCTCCTCCGAGGTAATGTACAATCACCTCTTCTGCAAGATAGGACTCTCTTAGAGGGATCTGGAACCTATAAAAATCGCCCTCATCGGCTTCAACGATTCCAGCACCCTACCCCTTGGAAAAATCACTCTCATAGTACGAGCGGGGGTGGTGACCACGCCAGTGAAATTTGTGGTGGTAGACTCCGACTCTCCTTACAATGCTATTATGGGGAGGTCGTAGTTGCATGCAATAAAGGCGGTCCACTCATCCTACCACCAGAAGATAAAGTTCCCAACACCGCAGGACATAATGGAGATCCGGGGTGATCAGGCCTCTGCGAAAAACTGTTTTTATGCCGTGGTGAAAACGGGAGTTAGTGGCTGGAATCAGGAGCGTGATCCCGATCTGGTAGTTGCCAAATAGCAATCAAAGAAAGGTCGTCCGGGGGTGGACGAGCCCATCACGGAGCTGACTGACCGGTCTATTGAGGCCTTGGTGAAGATTCTCCTGAGCCCAAATAATGGTGAGAAGTACTTCTTGATAGGAGAATCGTTCAGCGACGCTAAGAGAAATGATATGGCCTCATTTTTACGCCACAATGCCGATGTCTTTTCATGAATCCAGGCTGAGATCACGGGGATAAGTGCCGAGGTGATGACTCATTGGCTCCATGTGAATCCCTCATTCAAACCCGTTAGGCAAAAGGCCCGAAGAATGGCGCCTCATCACGCAAAGGTTGTGGATGAAAATGTGGATAAGTTGTTGGAGGCAGGTTCTATCAAGGAGGTACAGTTCCCCTAATGGCTGTCCAATACCGTGTGCGCCAAGAAGAAATAAGGAAAATTGTGAGTTTGCGTGAATTTCACGGACCTAAACAAGGCTTGCACCAAGGACAAGTACCCCTTTGCCTAAAATTGATCAGCTGGTAGACACCACAACCGGCCACAGGCGCATTACCTTCATGGATGTTCGGGCTGGATATCACCAGATTCCTCTGCATGAATCAGATTAGGTGAAAATGACGTTCATCACTCCCCGAGGAATCTACTGTTACACAGTAATGCCTTTTGGGTTGAAGAATGCTGGGGCGACTTACCAACGATTGATGAACAAAATTTTCAAAGACCAGCTTGGCGAAATGATGGAGATGTACATTGATGATATGTTGGTCAAAAGCAAAGAGGAGGCCGACCATCTCCACCATCTCGGGACGACGTTTGTCATCCTCCGGGAATATGGCCTAAAATTAAACCCCTCGAAGTGCGTATTTGGAGTGAACTCAGGAAAATTTTTGGGGTATTTGGTTACTCATCGGGGGATTGAGGCGAACCCCGAGTAAATACAAGCAATCCAGAATGTCCGGGCGCCTAAAACTGTTAAGGACGTTCAGAAATTGGCCGAGATGTTGGCAGCCCTTAACAAATTTATTTCCAAGTCGTCCGATAAGTGCAAACCATTTTTTGCCAAGTTGAGGGGGGTAGCTAAGGGGGTTTGGGACGAGGAATACGGTCGAGCTCTTGAAGGGATCAAGGAGTACTTGATACATCCTCCGACTTTATCTATTCCAGCGACAAGAGAGGTGCTAAGCCTTTACTTGTCCATATCTCAAGACGCCGTGAATGGAGTGTTGGTCAAGGATAGCGAAGGGGGCACAAAGACCTGTATATTTCATAAGTAAGACCTTGCTTGACGTCGAGAGAAGATACTCTCCAATGGAGAAATCGGTCTTGGTATTGGTAGTCTCAGCGAGGAAACTTCGACACTACTTCTAGACTCATGCCATAGATGTCCTTATAGACTGACCTCTCAAGTCGATTCTTCACAGGGCCGATATGTCCAGGAGGGTTGCCAAATGGGCCATAGAGCTCAAGGAGTTTGAAATCAAGTACAAGCCTCGAACATCAATAAAATGACAAGTCCTGGCGAACTTTGTGGCCGAGTTCTCTTCATCCGAGCCCCCACCAATATCACAGGATCCGATAGAGGACGTTTGGGATCTTCATGTTGATGGATCCTTGAACACAAGGAGGGTAGGGATAGGTATTATGCTAGCTAACTCAGAAGGGTTCATCATCAAAAAGGCAATTAGATTAAATTTAAGGCGTTCAATAACGAAGCTGAGTATGAGGCGTTGCTAGTAGGACTGGATGCCACATGCTTGATTGGGGTTAGACACCTTCGGATCTTTTGCGATTCCCAACTAATCGTGAACCACGTAAACGGGGACTTC